CTGGCGGCGGCGGCGGCGCGGGCGGCGGCGCGGGCGGGCGGCGCCTTTTGGCCGTAATAATAAATAAATAAATAAATAAATAAATAATGAATAAATAAATAAATAATAAAACTAAATGAGAAGCAAAGCGGGCATGTGCCGTTAAGGGTCGAGGTTTGGAGGGCAGGCCATGGCAAGCCTGGAGGGGCCTCGCTGACTCAGCAGCGATATTAAACACGAACGGGTTCGTGCCCCCGGCCTCCCGCGGCCTCCGCGGAGGCTGAGTCTCCCCGCGGGCCCCCGCGGCCGCAGTGAGCGCACGCACACAGCAAGCGGGAGTCCAGCATTTATTGGCATTTGCGTTTCCTTTCCCGCCCCGGCCCCGGGCACGGGGGCAGCTTTGGCAGCGGGAGGAAGCGGGAGCCGTTCCCGGCGGGAGCAGGCGGATGCGGGCCGGAGCCGGCGCGGGCCCTGCTCCACGCCCGGAGCCCGGTGCTCACCGCACACCCGGCAGCGTCGCCACTTACATTTTCTTTAAAAGAAGCCAATATACAGAGTATAAAGCACAATATTTACAACAGGACGGTAAACGGTTTCGTTTCCACACCAATCAGTAGTCTGGTTTCAGGTGTATAAAACAATTTTTTACATGAGCTGAGAGAAACGGAGGGAGGAAGTGACACAGCACGGGGAGCGAGGCATCCATACCTTCCATTTAAACACTTTAAATAATAAATAACCTCTTTTTTTGGCAGAACCGAGCTGCGTACACTTTAGCCACAGGCAATGTGTTTACGAGACTCAACGGCACGTTTCTGGTGAAACCACATTTTGCAGCGAGCGCGTCTGCTCACCAAGCTCCTCAGCACCCAAAACCCTTTCTAATAAATAACTTAAACAAAAAAAGGTAAAAAAAGAGACACTTTTAGGCCTTTTCATGTAAATCTGCTTGGGGATTGTCGGTTTGGCCCCTGCTCCTCCACGGAGGCCGCCTCCACGTCCAGCAGCAAACGGCGCCTCCGGCAGCCCCGGATCGGCTTGGTCGGAAAGGCAGCAGCTGGAACGGCTGCCAAAAAGGACACAACAAAAGCACGGGGCTTTTTCCAGCCCTTGGCTCACTTTTAAACCTGGAATTTTTAACACAAGGATATTACACCACAATGTTGACCGAAGCTTCAAGTTGAGCGTTCCGGTGACTTAACCCCAATGGAAAAAAACACATTTCCAAGCCTGCGCGTTGCCCTCCAGCCCGAGTCCTGAACCAGTGCAAGAGAATCCCAAATCCCAAAGAGAAAGGTGGAAAAGCCTCCGCAGGGCTCCGCAGCGCGGTGGGAAAAGCCTGGGGTTTTCCAGGGTCGCAGAGTCAAGCGGTCACCAAATGTTCCTCATCGCTCCTCCTGGCCGGCTCCTTCCGTGCGGCCGCCCGAAACCGCGCAGGAATCTGGAGTCTCCTCAAAGCACAAGCTGTTTTTCCAAGGAAATAGCTGTATTTGCTAACAGAAATCCATTTGCGCTTTAAAAACCTCTAATAAAAATAGAATATATACTGTGGTATTTATAAATACATTACACATTTAGCTTAGTTCAATTCCATTACATCCCACACCCCCACAAACGTTTTAAAACAATTTTGATTTTTTTTTTTCTGTCTTAACTACTGTGATAATTACTAAATCCTTGGGAAAAAAAAGGAAGTTTGTATCATATGGTTCTTTGGACGGTTTGGAACATGCATCCACAAAAGCGACTGCCGTTTGTGTACTGAAAACATTTTTATACAAATCCATTTTAGTAATTTGATCTATTAGTACACTGCTAACAAGCAAAAAAATTTGCTTCCTTGAAATCCCCCTTTTAAAAAATGAGAAACAATGAGGAGGGATTTTTTTTTCTCTGATTCGAAGTCTAAAAAAGTGTCAATGTGACACCACATTAAGAATAGAAAACAAAAATAAAGTATTTACAGCTTTACAAAGGAAAAACAACCCCCAAAAAGAAAAATCAAAGAGGTCATCAAAGTAATTTCCAGCATTTTTCACCATATTTCTCTGGCAAGTCCTCGATCCGGTTGCTGAACACAACCAGGTCCGGATGGCTGCGGGCTCCGGCAGCAGCATCCCTGGAAACTCAACTAGCCAGACACTTGCTGGGCAACTCCGGAGCCCGACCCTGCCCATCCCACCCGCGGGAGCTCCGGGGACAAAGCCCTCATGGAAACACCACCTTCCCCCAGCCCAGGCATGAAGAAAGCTCCAGCTTTTAAGTGGATTACATATGGTTATAACAAATAAAGACACCCACAACCACGGAACACCTACTACCGTATACATCACCCTGTTCCCAGCCCCTTGACTACAGTCCCACATGCCCTGTACGTACGAAGAACCCTCCGGCAGCAGCTCCCGGGAATCGGCGCTCCGAGGCCGCCCGTGTCTCCGCCCACGCCCGCTTCCCGTTCGCCTCCACTATCAATCCGAGACTTTTCTCCCCCACCTCGAGGGAGCAGCTCCTGCTTTCAGGAAGCTGTATCCCTAACCTCCACCGAAGGCTCCTAAAGCACTTCCAGACACTCGGCTTTGGCGGAAGGTTTCTCAGCTTTGGGAGAAACCCCATGGTTAGCAGCTGAAGTCCAGACTCGAGAGCCTTAGGAATACTTGAAGGAAAAAAAAACCATTATTTTTTTTTTCCGGTCCCCTCAAAGAAAAATATAATATCACAACAGCTATTTCTCACCCCCTGCCCACCCACCCCGACCCTGCAGCCTTAATGAACGTAACGCTTACCGCTTTGGCCATATAAAAACCGCCAGGAATGAGCACTTTGGAATCAGGTTTCTTTTCCCGAGAAAAGTTATACACGTCTACGCAACGAAGCAGGCTTTGGAAAAGCCACTAACTCACAACACAAGAACACAGGGCTCGATAGCCACTCTACGAATAACTGCACTATTGCAAACATCAAGGAAACCCCGGGAATATCCTTGAATCTCTTTGTACGGACGGAAATGGCTGGCGGATTCCCGTGGATCCGCAGGGATCCTTGCAGTTTACTCCGAAAAATCCAACGGGGCCCATGTGATGAGCACAGCCAAAAGCCCCGAGCACTGTGTCCAAGCAGAGGATGGACCCAAGCAGAGCCGAAGAGTCCATGAGGGAATGAGCAAACCTTTCCCGTCCCCGCCGAAACCCTCCGGCATGAATTGCACCCAGAAACGGCTCCGTTCGGAGGGGAGCTGCTTCCCTGGGTTTCCAGGTCAATTCCCAACGCCATTCCCTGGTTTCCAGGTCAACAGCAGAGGCTTGCAAACAAATCCCTGGACACCCAAAGCTTGGCTGCCTTCAGCCCCACAAGGTGCTTTCACCTGGCACGGTCCTGCCCAGCCTCAGCACTGCTGCTCCCGGACGGTTTTTAAGCATTTGGGCAGGAAATTGATAAATTTGGTTATTTCAGCTCACCTCTTGCAACCTTAGTTAACTGTACATAACTTTTAGGCAGCATTAATTGCACTTGGAAACTTGCCTAACATGAAGTGTATTGCCTTAGGTTTACACCCTGGTTTGACCTGGTTGAGGTGCTACAACCCCCCTAAAATAACCACCATGCCAGAGCTTCCTTCCTTAGCTTAGAAATCAGAGTTTCGGAGCTGCTTTCTCGGGTCTCCCAACTATGGAGCAACCGAGCAACTTCTCACAGAGAAAGCCCTGGCCCGGCGCCCCTCGTTCCAAGAGCAGCCGCTTGGGATCCGCTTCACTCCGAAGGGCTGCAGCCTTTTCCAAGGCTCAGCTCCGCGGGACAGCAGCGGCCTGACCCTCGCCCTGTGCCTTGGCTCTAGCAGAGCACGCCAGTTTATCCGCATTCTTTGATTATCCCGCTCTAGCCATCCTGAAAGCAGCGAGAAACAAAAAAATCCTCATTTTCTCCCGGTCAGCAACGTAAAATCAGCAACCACTACAGTAACAACAAGCCAGTGGGGAGCTGGAGGGCCGATCCCCTTCCTAACCCAACTGCTGGGAAGAAAGGTGCTGCGAGAAGCCGGGGAAGCTCCGCAGCGAAGGACCGAACGTGGGATCAGCCTCCCTTCGCCCGAAGCTACCGGGCGCAGCCCGGTGCGGACCCAACACCGGTATAAATAAGGCGAGCGCTTTTGTGTGTGGTTTATCGGTTTGCATAGTGGTTTATCGGTGATCGTCCCCCCCTCTGCCGCCGCCTGCTTTGCCACCGAGCTGAGACCTGCGGCACCGGCGCCCCCGGGGCTCAGGCTTAGCCCAGAGCCCGGGCAGCCTCCCAAGCTCCCTCGCCCGGAAAGGTGGAATGAAGAAATTCCTCTAAATACTGCGGAACTGCTTAATCCTAAAAGCTGTCTCTAAACCCGCTATTATTTTCTTTTAAAGGGTTTTCTGTTCAATTTGGAGGCATTCTTTTTTTTTTCTCTATTTTAATGCCAGACATTTTTAATTGTACCTGAATTGTCCTGGATTCACTTCCCAGTCTGCCAGGGCTCCTTTTGCCAATCAGTGCAGCAGTTCAATGAAACCATAAGCTTATTGAAATACCCAGAGCCTTTGCAGCACCAGTCTCTGCTGCTGCCAGATTTTTTTTATAGTATTTTTTTTTTTAAATATAAAAACACCTGCTGATAATATTCCACTGGAGCTCAAAGTGGCTCAGCTTGGGGCAAAGGCACAATTAAAACACTGTGTTTTCTTACAGGACTCTGCAGTTATGATTTGTATAACAGTAGAAATTTACAGCACCAATCCTTGGGTGGGGGGGATGCGTGTAGGAATGAGTCCTTAGAGACCCTGTGCACGGGCTTAAAAGTCTTTTTTTTTTCTTATTTTTCCTATTTTTTTCCTCCATCCACATGTCGTTTGTTAAGCTTTTCTTCGTTATTCCCTTTCGCTGGAACGAACGTCTATCCTGTATCAGCTGACCATGGGTTCCACATCGGCCTCTCTGTCCAACTCATCCTGAATTTCATCTGTGTTTCCTGAGTCGCTGCTGGCTACGGAGCTGGGAGACGGAGAATTCCTGCAGGGAAAGTTCAGAGATGGGCTGAGACAGAAGAAACAAATGCCAATAATGGGGAAGTAGAAAAGAAGTCCCTAAAGAAAAGGCTCTCTTGGTTGAACCAAGTTTCTTTTGAGACTGTTGCTTGGCCCTGAACAAGACCGCATCACCCAAATAGCGAACCTGTAGGCAAAATGACTGTAAAATGTCATTTTGCAGCTCTCCGAGGCACCACGGTGACCGCATCTTACCTGTCCGCAGAGCCTTTGATAAGTCTACGGCAGGTTTCCATCTGTACATCCAGGCCCCGTTTCATGCTGCACATTTCCATATACTCGTGAAGGTGGCGATTCATGTCGCTCTTGGCCGTGGCCAGCTCCAGCTGTGCCAAAGAAGAGCGTGAGGAACTGCGGGAGAGGCTAAAACCGCCCGAGACCAACCAGAAACCCCTGCAATGCACCCTAAAGCCCCACTGTACTCTGCAACGCTGTGTGAAGAGCATCTTGGAGCTCAACACTGTTCTTAAACCCCCTCTTGACCTGTTTGCCACTTGGTATATTTTTGTTGATATTCAGTACCTAAAGAAGGAAGGATCCAGGAAGAATAAAGCTGTTTATTCTGGCAATTTCATTGGGATTTCTTCTTAAAAAGCATTTTCCAGTGAGATGCTGGATATATAAGTCAATGGGGAAAAAAGTAATAGTGCATTTTTTATTCCCTGTCCTGAAAGGTTACAGATTTATGCTTACTCACTCATGGTGCTAGAGAGTTGTATTTAGAAAAAATCCCAAGAGTAAGAAAGAGGAAATCACTTTCGCCCTTTTACACACACACACACACATATATATATATATATGTATATATATGCACACACTGTGCTGTGTGTGCACGTGAACCAGAATAACCACACAGGATTTTCTTCCATGTAAAACCACCCCTATTTTCTCATGACTCATTTCCTTACCTCTATTTGTCCTATTGTTTCTTGGTATTCTTTGTCTCTTGTTTTAAAAAAAGACTCTGTTTCGTGGATCAAGTTCCCCAGATTTTCTTCCTGCAGGAGAAAGAAGGATACAGACTAATTAGGGAGCAATCACAAAAGGGCCCATGCATCACACAAACGAAGTTCAGCCAGCCTTTTTCTTTTTTTCTCTTACAGGGATTGTGCCGTTTTTCCCACAACAACCCAACGTTCCCAATTATTTCCTCGCCATATTATTTGCTGTCATTCCTTTGTAGCCATCGCATAGAGTTTGGGGTCTGTGTTACGCAGGTCACACACACAGCACCGTCTCACACCGTCAGAGGGACTGAATCAGCTGCTTTCTGCTCTAACCAGGTCACAATTCTTCCTTTCGTGTTATTACCTACCTCACTCTTTTCAGGAAAAAAAAATATGTTATCATCAGTTTGATGCAAGTGCCCTGCCGAGCATTAATTATGTCATCATCCTCTGGCCACATCTGGAGCAGCTTTATCAGGATCCCACCTGGGATCAACGTCAGGCTAACCAGCCCGTAGTAACGAGAATCCTTCCGCTTATCCTTTTATATGCAGAAGAGCTTTAAGGAGGAAGGTCATAAAAGCAGTGGCTAGGGCACTTGCAATAAGAACTTGAAAGGAATAAAGCCAGGAGAAGACTCAAGCATGTAAAGCACTGTGTTAAAAACCAGGCACAGGCTGAGCAGCCTTTATTCGGAATCTGCATCTACAAGACAAATCTACCCTTTCCTTGTATAATTTTCATTTAGAAGGATTTAAGCTTCTTAAAACCTTTAGGGTTTTTGCAGGGAAGGTCTGAGTGCTGCAATAGTCCTCTGATAGCAGTGCTTACACGGGCACACAGGGGTATATGCAAATAAACCTGTCACTAATGCCGGCGCGGAGCTGCACGAGACGGCGCTGAGCTCAGCGCAGCCTCCTGCTCTCCCAGATGATTCCCTTGGGAATCATCTCCGCTGTTTCCCTCCACGCCAGAGCGGGAACAGGCAGCACGACGGGCATTGAGGCAGCCCTGGCAGGCAGCACGAGGCGGGAGGCAGGAGCTTTGCTGCCTCAGCATCTTCACGCTGCAGCAGTGATGGAAGGAGGCAGGATTATTTCTCACCCGCTGCTGTTAGGCTGCGCAGTAATAAAATAATAACGTCGCATTTAAGATGGCCTGCACAAAGGCAGATCTTGCCGTTCACATCTCTCTCTAGCCCTGTTTAAAAAGGCTCGCAAGTCACTGCATGGGGCCACTGGTTGTCTTTGCATGGGATCCTAAGGATTCAAAGGAAGCTGTTTGTTATCCAGCAAAGGCAGGAGATGCCTATTGGCAGGGAAGATGGAAGCACAGGATTCACCAGTGCAGGAGCTCCCGGAGGTCTCCTGCAATACCAGCCTCTCTGTTTCTGGCAGGCTGTATTTAACATCCTTCAGGGACCACACTCCATGTATTTTTCTCCTCACCAAAAGGGCAGCACCATCCCCACGCCGCGTGCATCATTTCTGCACCAATAAAGGTGCGAATGGTGATCCCCAGGGAAAGCGGGATGCGGTGCAAAGGACGCAGAGCTTCAGCTACCTGACCGGCTGGGGTGGCAGGTTGCTCTGCAACAGTTAGTGCAGAGCAGATCCCTGGACACTGCTATTTGAAAACTCGTTTTGAGAGAGGAGAAGAAGAAGAAATGAAGTCTGGCAAATAAACCGATTGGACAGATTGCAAAGCAACCCTAAAGAGGGAGCGCTAAGAGGACTGGAAATCAAAGCAAGTTTGCCGGGCAATCTAGACCACCAGCCAAATGCCCAGAGGCTGAAATGGCTAAAAGAGCAGCTGGAGGATTCATTCCTATGGATGCGAGTCTAGGAAAACTCACCTCTCCCTGGAGGTCGATGGACGGATTGCAGTTTGTGAAGTCTTCCCAGAGAAGCAGCGTTTCTTCGTTCTCCTCCCACGTTAAACTATCGCAGTCATCATCAAAATCAAAGGTCTCACGTCTGTTGAGATGACGGGGGAAGAAAAGTGTCAGCAAAACCAATTCTAGCCCCGTTTCCCCACAGTGCCTCAATGTGCCTCAATGATCTTCTACAGTAAGAGGCTGTGAGAACAGAACGAAGGGGACAATCCGACTGTGGAAAACCTTGGAAGTTTTTAAGGACAGGCTGTGCCGCGGGCTCTCTGCCACCTCCCTGCACAACAAAGGGACCTTGGGAACATTCCCAGGCTGCACACACACTCCCAGCTTCCTCCTCCAGATGGTGCTGCAAGTTAGGCTCCCCTCTCCGCAAAACCACACACACGAAACCACCAAAAATCGCTTGAATTATTATTACTATTTTTTTTAATGTGTGGGAAAAGGAACCAAAAGGCAGTTTGAGAAGCTGTACAAGAAACAGGCACTGGAAGACTCCCTGCTGGCTCTCAGGCTGAAGCTTGGCCAACGTTTTCCCTGCGGCCCTTCCAAAATGTAGCTCCAAGGCAGCTATGCAAACAATGAAGATCCCCAAAAGAATGCACAGAAGAACGTCAATATTTATCGTGGAACTGGACAACAAGGATATCACTGAAGCCATTTACGACTAAGAACAAAGAGAGGCAGCAGCCTATAGCACCGCTACGAGGCCAGGGCTCCGCAGAAGGGCTGGATTTGCAACGAAGGAAAGCTTGGGAAGAGGCTGCATTTGCTGGTGGTTGCAGCAGGAGTAGCAGAGTCAAGCCCCAGTAGCTGCTGCTTGTCCTCACGAGGGACGTCCCACAGAGAGCTCGCCCGGCAGCCTGCCTGCTGTGGAGCATGGCATTCCTGCCTCCTTAGTTCACTTCCCTCGGAGCAGACAGCGGCTGGAACCCGCAGCTGAGCCCGGAACCGCCTTCCGCAGACCAAGGAGCTTCTCCAAAGAGGCAGCCCGTGACTTAGCTCAATCTGACCCCAAACAAACACACAACCCCCCGAGAACGCCTGGACAGAAGGGATTCTGCCCTGCACAACACAACTGGTTCCAATCAGCGCCTTTTTGCAGGAGTTATCCTTGTGAGCGGGCACAAGCTCTCCCCGCTCCAACAACAGTTTACTCGGGTCACAGAAATCATTCAAAATGACAGAAATCATTCAAAAATGACTGCATTCTGCCCAAGTTTTGCTAAATGCTTGGTTCTTCACTGGATAACGTGAAAGTTATTTTGATTTTCTGCTGGAGCAAGTGGTGTCTGCACACTCTTCCCTTCTACGCAAAGCGCCCAGGTGTACGTCAGGGAATCATCTTCAACAAGCCATGAACATTTATGGATGGTTCCTGATTCCCTCCTTGCTGCAATCAAGTACTAAAGTATACGAAAGTGCCCGTCTTTTAGTAACAAAGTTATTTTATTGGCAATTTAAGATGTTGCCTCTCCTCTCTTAATCGAAAAGATATCTGGTACTGCAACTGTGTAACTATGGCACAAGCAAGAACTGTCAGTTTGGATATGTTGTAAAATATTCACGAGCTCTATAATTATTGGCCAACTAGGATAGGGCAGGGAGGTAAAAATTTTATCAGTAAAATCAATAAATATCAGACTATCAGAGGCCAGGTTGAACAACGACACTAAAAGCTACAACTAACCCAGTGGATAAGCTGGAGCCTCTTGTTTTCCCTGTGAAAATTCAATGCACTATTTGCTGTCATCTTGAATTGCAGGGAAGAGATGGAAAATCTGCATTTACTACATTGAAATCCAGACGCTTTACTCGTGAAAAAGAAAACCGAGCCTGAGGAAGAAATAAGTGCTTAAAAACATCTAAAACCAGAGTGCTAATAAGAGGAGTTTGGGCAAAAAGCGTGCTTTCCTCCACACACGAAATCGAGGAGGAAAGGCCAAACGTACCCTCAAAATAGAAGTTTTGGCAACAGCTGACAGCAGAACAGCTAGCGATCCTCAGAGAATATCCTGTTTACGCCGAAGTAGTAAATGCCGCCCCGCTCTCCGTGGGAAAGCGCTGGGATCTGTCCCCTCTCGCGGCCCCTCTCTCGAGTTTTGGGAAAAATCCATCAGGATTCTTCCAGTGTGGGAATTGCAGCAGAGTTTGCAACACGGATACTCTTGGAATCTATAGGTTGTTGTCCACTGCTATAGGGATGGGTTTGCTGGGCATATCCGCTACTATTTGCCTACAACCCAATCAAGAAATCATGTGAAATAGGATAGGAGTTGGCTTTCATTTTGAACTGAGATTCAGTGACAAAGTGCTCGATTTCTATCCACCCAAATCAGCTGGGAAGTTCTAGAGATCTCATATTAAGCCAAACACTCAAATACTTCATACTTTTCCTGCACTACTTTTCTCTTGTTATTGGTACAAGCTGTAAAAAGGGGAGGTATATATGTAAAGAAATGTTTGACTATGTTCTTATATTCTCTATAGTCCCCACCTCATATAATGGAGAAATAAAGTTCAAAGAAAAAATGTTTTGTTAATCTTATTTGAATTTCCCGCGAACCTCTGAAAAAGCCCAAGGCTGGCTGTTTAGATTCAACTGACAGTCAACATGAGTTGAAGGAGAAGACACCTGGACTGGACGCCCCTGGAAATGTCTCAATATTAAGCTCTGCAATCCCATTTCAGAGTAGGCTTTCCCCCTGGGTGTGCAGGATACTCACAGCTGATTAAACATGCGCTTCATTTCGTCCGTGATGTTCAAAGAGCAGCTGACCTCGTCGTCAGAGAACCTGCTGTTGTCCCCATCCTGCTCGGAGAGGTCGTCGTCCGACGGTAGCTTGCGCTCCTTCTTCTTGGAGGCCACCTGAGGTGGAGAGAAGGGCAGTGACTGGGAGGTCGGGCTGAGGAGCTGCCCTGCGATGATGAGGAAGAGGGGGAGTCTCAGCGCGCGTAACTGCTCCTCAGCTCCCAGGTGATTCAATGAGGGTTAACGACAGAACTGCGCCTGCTGATGAGTGGTGGACACGGAGCGCAAGAAAGCCGTTCAGACGGGCCAAGAGCAAAGCAAGCTGCGCCCTGCACGGGCTCTGTCCATCGACAGCGCTCTGCGATCTACCGGAGAGCATGCAGAGGGTCGAATGAGAGAGGGGAGAAGCAGAAGCTGGCACGGGCAGCAGCCTTGAGAGCAGTGACAGAACTCTCCCCTCCTGCCAGCACCACCAGCCCGATGCTTCCACCATCAACCACCACCAATGGGCGCAGAAGAAACCTCTCTAGACAGTCTTCACTTGAGGGCCGTTCCCACCCCGTAACCAGAGGCTGCTAGTCTTCTATTTGAGAGAAGAAGGGTTAAACTGAGCTGTGGAAGGTCCTGGACAGCCCCAAAGAGGTCAGGTTTACAGATGTGTGGAGAGAGCTCAAGTGGTACTGCAGAAAAGAACATAGAGGCTGGTGCCTTCACCTGAGGGTTGCAGACATCACAGGATTCACTGAGGTTTACAGATGGAGCCACACACACACTGCCCTTCCAAACCACCCTAGCTTCGCACTAATTGGCAAGTCAGCCATCCCTTATAGGTATCAAACTCCACAGCAATCATTTTAACCGCTGCATGCTTGACCAGAAGGTTGCTTTGCAGTTGCCATTGGGCAGAAAGACAGAGCAAGTCTCGTTAAAGAGAAGGAGGAACCGCTAGAAAAACGCAGGGGCTCAACATGCAAGAAAACACAATTATCTCCAAGTTGGATATTTGTATCTATTTCTGGGTATAAAACCCAGGAAACATTCAGGTAACTTTACAAGAGCCAAAAAGCACAACCAGGAAGAGACCACAACCATATTTACAGTGCTTTTGTGTCCAGCGTTCAGCCCAACACACCCTCCATGGCATCATTCCACAGAAAAACAAAAATAATCAGACTTATTCAAAGACTGAGCAAGACACATTGAGATCAAAGTGGAAAGAAGGCGGGTTAATCACAGCTGAACGTGCAGTCAGGACACAGGAGCAACCGCATTCGGAGCTACAGGTTCGTTCTGTAGAACTGCACCCGCTCACTTCTCGAGCGGATGACGTGACTCCCTCCAGCGAGCGCTGGCTTGAACAGAAATAGCGAAAGGAAAGCCAACTGTGAGACTTTATTCTGGTCTCACCAAGTAACCACAGTTCCCCACCACAGAAGTGTTATTTCTGGTCACGGAGCCCAAGTCAGAAATAAGAACTTTTGGATGACAGGTCTACGGGCTTAAAAGCTCTTGCCTCTGAGGGAAACAGGTGTGATGAAGCCATTTAAACAAACACAGAGCCCTATATATATATATTTTTTTTTCCTGTGTTCCTTGCAGACTAGCATCAGTCTGTTTCAGAGGTCATCTTGAGACTTTATTTTAAACTCTGAATTTTGAGATCTCAGTGCTGCAGCAGTGTCTGTAGATCAGAGCTACACTCCGAAACTGAGGGAGAAAATCCACTTATTTAGGGAAACCTCAGCAAGTGGAGAACGGCCTGGGCCACCTTCCTCAGCGCTGCTCCCTCTTGTCCCCTGACACTTGTCCTGCCCTGGCGAAAATTCCCGGCCTAATCACCTGGAATATCTTGGACACGTCTTCCGAGTTGCGCTGCTGCGCTACATCGCACAGCTTGGCTGTGATATCGATTCGCCGACAGATGTCCATGTCCACCTTCATGGCCTTTTCTTGAATCTTTGTGTCCAGGTCTGTCATGGGCTGCAGGAAGGACAGTAGGGATTATCTTCTATTATTATACAGTTCAGGAAAGAGGAGATACCCCACAGTATCTCTCTAACCCCAGGCTACACCAGTCTTAAATAATATTAAACCTTGTTGTCCGGGAAGGGCAGTACACGGAGAGCCTCCACAGGCAGGCTCAGCAACTGAGGATTAACACTTGTATCCAACTCCAATGGAATTTCTATTCTGAGAATGACACAGGAAAACTTATATTCACCCCCACCTCCCCCCCCAAAAAAAACCCAGATTTGGCAAAAATGATTTTTTATAAGTCAATAAAATAAAGTTTTAAATTTAAGGAAAAACAGAAGAAAACTAACTTGTTGAGTGAGTACAGAATGAAATCTAAAATCTGATGAAAACTCATCGCTTCCCTATTCCAAAAAGGAAAAAAATGTGTCTGCAAGGAGAATTTGCTCTCAAAACAGAGCCCAGGGTACAGGGTAACTACTTCACTCTTGGTATAATCAAAAGAGATCCATGAAAGCCTGCAGCACAAAAAATAATACTCACATTGACATTAAGCTGCCTTCCAACCCAGCAAAAAAAATCTACACAAAAAATATTTTGTACTGCTTCACACGGGGCAGCAATTATAAACATTATTTATAAGAGATATTACCCTCTCATAGACACTACTGTTGGCTCCTTATGGAGTAATGTTGTCATGTAAAAAGGGTATTTTGCAGCCTAGAAAAAGCGCTCCCTTGGGAAGCGTCACCTCAGTGACTAGGCACCCCTTCCACTTGGGCAAGAAAGGCAGAAAACCCCTCTGCAGAGCAGAGAATTCTTTTAATTACTAAATCCTCTTATGAAGAAAGAAAAAGGGGGGCTGTTTGTTTTATTTCATTAAGTTTTTGACAGGGTTCTCCAGCTCATGTCGAGCACCTTGGGACAAGTCCGGGGGCTTTCTGTCTTTCAGACCCGCCGTGAAAAAGGCATTCCCGAAGTGTTTCCCGAAGGCATTCCTGAGGGGTTCAGTCCCACTGGAACACTAAGCTCTACCTCACTGACTGATGAGGTAATAGTGATTATGAACAGGGAGGAAGGCGTCCGTCCCACTGTTTGCTATTTCTCCACGCTTAAGCAGTGGGATTAGGAACAGGCATCCGCGCTGCTTCCCACGGGTGCTCCTGCACCTTGCGGAGTCTGCAAAACCCAAGCCCTTGCTCAGGCTGAGGAGGGTGCTGGCGTTCACCACCCCGCCTTTCGTCCACACTGACTAACGTTTCCTCCTCAATCAAATAAAAACCACAACGGGGACGTAGCCCTGACGTCTCTCTCCCTTGCAGGGACGTAGCCCTGACGTGCTTCGCCCTCGCACGCTGCTCCTGAGCTGGTGTAACCCCCTGAAACACCGAAGGAAGCGCCAGGGAACCGCTGGCTTCTCCACGGACAGACCTAGCGGCCCCATGAGACCACATGTGAAAATGGAGCGTGGGCCCTGCAGGCTTCTGTGAGCGCGAAGGAAACAGCTCTGATTAAATAAAACAAAATCACAGGCTCAATAAACATAATAAAGGATCCTCATTAGCCAGCTGGCATGAGCAGTGCTTCCATTTCACAGGGAAAGGCACCTTCCTTAACACTCACCTGGCTTGTTTTTCTATATACCTGCCCGAGTAGATTTTCTCAAGGACAAGACTGTTCTCCTGTCACATCGTAACAGATCTCCGGGTTTTGAAGGAAAGTAGGTATGTGATATGAGCGAACTCCCGAGAAAACAGGGTTATTTTTGTCATTTTCTTTCCATCTTTGTTTTAATTTAAGGTAGAAGCAGCTCTGGAAACCAACCAGGGTCCGAACTAATGACGCTTGGTCCGACTCATCAGAGCTTTCAGAGTTGGAAATTCTGTTTTTAACCCGAGTTTCTTGCGCAATTCAGAGCAACCCCCCCATCGGAAGTCCCAAAGGCTGCACGGCGCCCCAGCCTTTCCTCCTAACGGGTCGGCTCTCTGGTATTTCCTTCTCCGTGGCTGCGGATTTGAAGGCCAGCTGTGGGGAACGGGGAGGGAGGGCAGAGTCCAGCTTGTGGGCTAAGCAGCAAGTTAATGCATCTCTGCACAGCCCGCACGGGAAGCAGGGCCAGGGGAGGTCTGCCTGATGCATTAGAGCAGAGAGGCAGCCGTAACCACCTACCAAGCAGCGCTCGCTAAGACACAACCTCTTTATGAATGAAGGCGCTGGCGGGAGGTACGCGGGAGGCGGGAGCCGCCGCGCCGCTCCCTGGGTACTTACATCACTCATCAGACCCTTAAAGACCACGAGCTCGGCCTTGAGGCGCTCCATCTTTGCATTCAGCTCCTCCTGCAGGGCTTCCGCTTCCTGCGCCTCCTGCAAGGGAAAGCAGGAGCTCAGAGGGGACGGGGAGCTCCAGGAGGGCTCCTAAGGGCCGTCACCACCCTCTCCCTTTTGCTTTGTCGGGAAGCTGGGCGCCTTCCCGCTCCGCCGGGCTCACGCCATCCCGCCGCGAGGGCCAAGGAGGCTCTTCACACAAGGACCAGCTTTGTTGCCGAGGCCACCGGCACGTTGAAAGGTGACAGCAGAAGGTGTGTGACGTCCCGCACGGCGGCTCGAAGGACGCAGTGCACGCGCTGGTCAAACCTACCTCCCGCAGGGTTTCCACCAAAGATTCCAGGCTCATCCTTCTAGTCACTTCCTCTTCCCACCTGAAAGAGGAAACGTGCAATCCAAGCGTTAGCCGTAGGGGGAGGAAGAGGAAAAGGAGGAAAAGATCAAGGCACAAGTCGCCCGGTAGCCGCGGGACGATGACGGCTGTTTCGGAGGCCAGGCGGATCCTCCTCGCTCGCACATCCTCCAGCATGAACCAGGGTCTACCAGAGAAGCTGGGCCAGCTTTAGTGGGAAGGAGGCTGATCCCTGTCCTTTGGGGCTTTATTGGGTTGCAGATCACAAATGGGATACGTTTGGTACAACCTTGGGTTGTGAAGCACGCAAATCTGAGCGTTCGGAGTCCATCCAAGCCCTACTATTCACTTGTTTGGTCTGACTGATTCATGCCTTGAGCTGCCTCCTACATCTCAGGTCCCCACAGGGCTCGGCCCGTTCCCAGCACCGCGGCTGCTCCTGGGTGCAGACTGCTGCCTACCCGAGGCAGGAGAGCATCACAGAGATCAGAATTGTATAATTAAGCACCACAATAACGCGTTATTATGTTGGTGTTCAGTGCTGGATTAAGCATACAAGTACCCGGCAGTCCATCCCTCTGTTCAACAGTGGCAAAATCTGGGTCTGGAAACATATTAAACCATAACGTTCTTGAAAATGCATGTTGAAATCTGCCAAAAGCCTCATTTACACCTCATATTTCCAAAATTACACAGAAACGCGGTGACACCCGCGCTCAGATATTCCCATTCTCACGTCCACCAGCAGCTTCACGCTCCTCGGTGTCTCTCAGCACTCCACGGGCAAATCAAACCCCGTCCCAGGGCAGTGGGGCAGCTCCAGGAGAGGCCCCTGGACGTGCCGCACGTGCCGGGATCACGGGCCGCCTCCACCAGCTCCTTCCTGCCATTGTGCTGCAGGAATGGCCAACACCAGCCACCCAACAGGAACCCTGCACCGCGCAGCTGCGTTTGCATTCACACCCGACGTCTCGTTATGCAGTTTTTTTTCCCCAGCAATGATTTATTACCCAGCAGAGCAAAATATTTGGGCTCCAATTTGCATTTGTCATCAAACGCTGCAGCTTGCATTTCAATGGCCTACTTGTATGCTGCCTACTAATTACCTTACGTTCCTGTAAAAATAGTAACTCCATTCCTCAGGCTTTAATATCAAAGCCAAGAAGGTGAAATTACTTAAAGGCATCGATTGCATTCACAATCTGGGAGATGGTCTCCTTCTGGTGCAGGAGGAGCGTTGCGTGGCTTTCATCAGTCCTTCTGGTCTCCCTGTCAGCAGGCTGTCGTTTATGGATTTAAGTCAAAGCACACATTGCAAAAATGGATATGCAGCTTCTGGAGCTTTTAGCTGTTGGAACGGACCATGCTGGCTGCACTCGGGTTATCTGCTCTTCCCTGCACCCCTGCAGCGCGCTGGGCGTTCTGCACAGAGGGATGTGCTTTGGGAAAACGTTGCATCCATATATTTTTCCTGGATACGCCAGGAATTCCTCCTCTGGGCAGCTGCCACATCCTGCATCTCCAGGTCTGCAGCGACTACCCCTCCTCACCAGCAAGAGCTGCAGTCACTTCATTGCTCCTGCCAGTTACGACGAGTTTCACAGAGCAGCGATTTGCAGCCTTAATTTCCTCCTCTCTGACGCGACACGGGATCGGGATCGTGGGGAGAGCAGGGGGAGGATGCCACCTCCTACACACACGGAGCAGAGTTTCTCTGTTCCTCTTAGTTACAGGGACCATAAAGCAATTAGGCCATTTTGAATCAAAAAGCTGACATGGGACAGAAGTTGGACCAACACAAAGGGTCCCGCTCATCCCGAACATCAGCTCCTTAACCCTCGGGCTGCATCCCGGCCACCTACCCGCCACCAGGCTGATTGCCCCATTTAACACTAAGGCCCTCAATCTTCCTTTCTCCTCCCACTCCAGCCTTCACAGACCATCTGCAGGGAAGCGAGGGGGAAAAGGAGGAGCGGAAGGGGAAGGACGACGACGAAACGGGAGGCGAATTCAGCTCTAGCTTCCCAGCGCGTGAGACCACAGGAAAAGTGCTCGTTCATTCGCTCATGCCGGACTTGGCTCTGCCACACAAGGCTGTAGAAGGGCCCTTGGCTCCCAAGGAGAAGCTAACGTGGGAGCCGGCTGCCTCTTCCAGGGGCTCCGGCATGGCAGCCTGCATCTCCAGCCAGGCAGCGGCTCTCCGAGGCCGGTGGACACTTATTTCTTGGCTCACACAGGCACCAACTGCCGAGATTTCCAGCTCTATCCAAACGCCTTTCCAGACCCGGAAAGGCAAACGTCAAAACACACCAATTGGGGGGGGGTTAATTATTTTCTTTACTTTCTTTTATCTTTCCCCAGGAGGAGAAAGGCTCGAGCTCAGTTTCGAACCCACCGAAGCTTTTTGCCCCCCACCCCATCTTTCCCACGGACCAAGGGTCTTTTTCTTAAAACCACAGCCATAAAAGCAGCCCGCATTACATTGACTCACCAACACGAGGGTTGGTCTAAGCCTCAAAAATTATGGCTCTACTCCCCCTTTTCTAGCTGTGACTTATTACATTCCTGCTGCGTTCAGTCACCGCAGCGCGGGGCCCCAAAGTACATTTGCCCTCATGTGACTAAGAGCAAGTGTCTTGCATAGCTCCGAGCAGAACAAAGGCCGCTTGCTTTCTTTAAAGGCAATAGTTACATTACAAGGCTATGAGAGCAACAAAACACATGAAGAGTCAAGCTCGGATTAATGTTGCTTAAAGCAGTATCCTGGTCACAGGATGAGTCACACCACAAACTTTGCGTTTCCTTTGAAATTGCAACAGGAGCTCTGAGATCATCAGCTCCAACCATCTCCTGGCGAGCTGCAGAGTGGATGGAGACCTGCAGGAAGAGGTAGGAGCCTTGAAAAAGTCTCCAAACCTCCAGGCAGTCCGGGGGCTTAAGCAGAGCCATGCGGGCAAAATGATTAATGTCCGAGTCACTTTCTGAGTCCCCGAGTACCCGCATGGATGAACATGAAGATCTTCCTTTCTTCTCTACCAACACATCATCAGATCAAACGGGAGAACTGATAGCAGAGAGAAGTGCCATTGCAGCAGATTCAGAAAATGCCTTGGAAATGAGGAATTTAGTTTTAGAGAAGTTTGTCTCTCAGAAATTTGTTCAATAATTTTCTTTTTTGAAAAAAAAAAACAAAACCCAAGAAATCAGGGCTTTTATCTTCAAGACAGTATCAAGGCAGCAGGCACTAGGCTTACAAATTAAGCTAGCTATAGCTTAACACTATAGTTCAGCACTTTAAACTCCCTCTCATCACAGCAGGCAGACACAAACAGACTGGTGTCAGGCATCAATAACCATCTAGAGCACTACTTTCTACATTAGAAACAGTGTTCTTCAAATAGGCAAATATTTCTCAAGAATTAAAAGAGATTTTTTTCTCCATAAGAAACTCTTTAGGAAGCAAGGCTCTTTTTCCCAGTAGCTTTCCACGGAGTCATGCTGGGGAAGGAGCCGAGATGCACAGAACATCTTTACCATGGAACCCGGTGAAGAACCAAGTCCTTCACTTCGTTTTGCTGAGCTTGGTCCATCTGTCCCCCAGTTTCTGGTGAGGAGCCAACAGAAAGGAAAACCCTAACAGCTCCAAGTGCTTAAATGCACGGTAGGAAACAGAGGCGTCACCTCCAACAACTGCTGTAACTGCTCGTGAAAACACCAGCTGCTAAAGATGTCCCAAATATGAATATATTGAAGTGAGGCGCTGTGCTGCTCCGGGAGGCAGTGCCCGGTCTCTCCTCGCGTGCTAGGACACCACGAGGGCCTCTTGGTACGAGATGCACCAAGCCCTGCTC